TGTCATATTGGAAACTGCGGCATTTTCTTAATTATTGATTCTGCCCTCACAGTGTTAACGTGAGTGCTAGTGTGTTACCTTTATCCTCCTCTACTTTTCCTTTCCTCCTTCTTTTATCCCCTCATCCCCTTCCCCAACTCAGAGTAGCCAACCGAGGCAGGCCGCCTTGGTTAACCTCTCTGTTTTCTCCTCCTGCCCTTACCTTCTCGCGATATCAGGGGAAGATACAAAAATAAACATGGGGCAATAAATGGTTGCGCTAGCCTTCCCATATCGGCTTAAATCAAGTGGCGAATACCAATCACTCCTAACGACCTTTCCCTTCGCAGCAACAGAAGAACCGAGCGTAGCGACGATTAGCGGGACAGTGTTTACCTGTCCGAGGAACCACCGAATCAACCAACCGCGCAAGTACGGTTCCTCAGCAAGACTGCTCAGAACAGTTTCCAGTCCGCCGCCGCTCGGCTCTCGTACATTGTCGATACGTGCCGCAACTCTCGACTCCCGCTCCCTGTGCACAGTCGACACTCGGAGACAAGCTCGGGAGCCGGGCACACTCTAAGAAGAAGGAACCGCAACCCCTGTCTAGAAAAGTCCTATAAATTAACACATGGAATGCAGTATTCAAGAAGCGATCGTTTCCATTTCCTTAGAAGACATCAAACAGTCGCTTCGGGAAGTGAATAACATATTGTTAATTTATTGACATCACCCTCCCTCTACGTTTATCATGCAATACGCAGAGTATCGGTATATAATAACAGTACCAAGAGACATAGGACACATTGGTTAACTGGTGCGCGCAGAAAGTCGTCAGCTGACGCAGATGTAGAGTGTTGAGATACGAACCGAGACGTTATAGGTTCGTTTCTCGTAGGGGGACAAGAGTATATTGGTTAAAGTTGGAGGAAGTGTTTGTGTGTGTTGGTTTCCGCTTTGATGGTAAGGAGGGGGGTTTTGCTGTCATGCCTTACCATGGAGTATGCTCGGATGTATTGAGAGATGGACGGACGAAAGCAAAAAAAACTTTGGGAGGTGAGGGGTTTATAAAACACTCTGTGCTTAAAACAAAATTCAGCGTGTTTATTTTTTCCTAGTACACTTCTGGGTTCAGTCCGCCCCCTGCCCGTTTCAATCTGGATGAGCATCGTACCGGCGTGAGATCATGTATCACTACTGCGTGGTGCACGTTAGGGACCCCAGGCTAGCGGTTGTACTGCACAGGCTGAATTGCTCATCTAGTTTTTGAACGGGTTATGTATTCCCGGATTCTTTTTTATTTTCGGCATAAGTTTGTAGAGTGTCAGCACGGTTTTTTGAAGGGACGTTCGGTTGAAACAAATCTTTGCTCTTTTTTAAATTACTCTTCCCCTGTTGTTACAAACAGAGGACAAGTTGATTGTACCTTTTTTGACATGTCTAAAGCCTTCGATAAAGTAAACCATGACTTGTTGTTACACGAATTATCGTCATATGGTTGTTGTTCAGAGCTATGTAACTGGTTCCGTAGTTATTTATCATCTCGACGGAACACAGTTCGTGTAGATAACAGTCATTCCGACCACTTCTTTTCCACATCTGGTGTCCCGCAAGGCTCCATCCTTGGCCCGTTGTTGTTTTTCATATTCATCAACGACTTGCCGTAATATGTTGATAACGCTCAAATTTTGTTGTTTGCCGGTGACATCAAGCTTTTTATGAATATTCTCTCTTCTATCGACTGCAACGCTCTACAGCATGATGTTTCACAGATTGCTATTTGGTGTACAGCGAATAACTTATCTCTGAATCCTTTGAAAACAAAATTCGTATCTTTCTCAAGGCGTCACACCATATTAGACTGCGATTATGTTTTAGAGGGGATGCCTACCAAACGTCTTTCTGTTATAAAAGACCTTGGCGTATACCTTGATAATGTTCTAACGTTTACTGCCAATTTCTCACTTGTAGTTGGCAGTGCAACAAGAATGCTTGGTGTTATATCTCGTAATACGAAGCACTTTAATAACCCGGCTTCATTGGTTCGGTTATTTTGTGCCCTAGTCAGGTCTAGACTTGAATTTGCTTCAGTAGCTTGGAATGCGTTAAATAAAACTCAGGCATTGAACATTGAAAATGTACAGAAGAGGTTAATACGCATTGTGTATGATCGATACTCTCATCGTCGCTTCGATTTTGATTATGAATTTCTTCTTAAAAAACTTTCGTTGACAAACTTGTCCGATAGAAGAGCGGAAAGTGACTTAGTCTGTTTTCATAAGTTAGTAAACGGTGTATATGATTGTGGGCTCGCTTTTAAGTGATGTTAATTTACATGTTCCCTCCCGGCCCACTAGAAATCATTGTACTTTTTACATGAATACTGTCTGTGATCTCTCGCCTTTATCACGCTGCCAACTGCTTTTTAACCGCATCAACAATGCTGAAGTGGATATATTTAGCGACTCTCGGGTGTTCGCGATGAAAATGAAAGTGCTTGTTGCCAATTTGTAACGTTCGTGTATTTTTGCCATATCTCTCTTATTTTAATTCCTCATTTATTATGTGTACCAAAGAAAAGACCTGTTGGTTGTTTTGGGGCACTTGAAAATAAATATTTATTATTATTATTATTATAGAGCGAGTGAGTCGTCGCAACTTTGAAACGGCTGACCACCAACAGGCTGTATATATATCCACACAACCCCCATTATTATTTCTAGTGCACCGAAAACTGCACTCCGCGGTGGAACAATAAACATGCCACTTACCTTAATTATTGGTATTTTGCACATATCGTGTTTCCGAGTAAAAATTTTTTATGCCGTACACAGTATTTGCTGCACGCGTCGTGCCGATTATTGTGATTGCCATGCGGCGCGCTGTGGGAGAAAATGGGCGCAGAGACAGCTGTATCTGTTTAGAATCCGTTGCTCGAATTACTTATCTACAAGTGCAGAATCTCAAGAGCTCCGACATGCGTGTACTTCCCGCAGTGCATTCGGAGCATCACTTTAAACCGTTCAGTCATTAACGACTAGAGGTATCTCAGTGGAAAAATGGCGTTCACTTTTTTTTTTTGCCACTGTCTTAATATAGACCGACCTCACTAGCCAGTTTCAATATTGCGCTTATCCTGCATTCCACAGGAGGAACTGTAATATTTCTGCATGTGGAATAACCACTGATGTCTATTGTAGTAGGCTGGATCGCGGATCGAGGCTTGTTTCGCTGGGGTCGAGTGGCACCACCGGCGGCCATTGCTCGACACCAGCAAATGCATTGAACCGCACAAAAAAAAGAACATATCCCTGGTCCAATTAAATGCGCCACGCGTATATTGTCAGAACTAGGCCGAAGGTTTGGCGCGAGTCGCGATATCAGATGTGCGCACCATCTATGAAAATGGCGGTTGCTAATATCAGAACTATCTCGAGCTCATGGTAAAAAGAGAATGCGTGAAAAATTAGAAAACACATACAGATCCGAAGTGGGCCAGGGCTGCCCGATAGATAGCCGCCAGAGTATTATCTCAAGAATTCGCAAGCGGTTTCAACGCAGTTGGTCACACCTAAACACAAAAGCCTGAACCTTTATAGAACCTTTAGAAAATCGCCATCTGCGCGCAGCAATCTTTGTCTGCTAGGCTATGGAAGGCCTTCTGAGCCGGCGCTGTTGCTCTGTTGTGCAAAATATCTGACGCTGAGCATGCGGCCACCGCTCAGTGACTCAGCATTTTCCACCCTGAGTGATGACTCATGAGCTCCGGAAATATATATACGCTAGACGTGCTCAAGAGATCACAATACGTCCCGCCGCGTGCTCTGGCAGAAAGCAGACTCGCAGTCATTTCCCTTTTTCCGTTTTCCAGAGATAAATTTATCATGAAGACAGTGCGCGATAAGACATACACGATACTAAAATAAAGTAACTAAATACTCGGACTCGTTACTCACTCAATAAAAGAGCAAGTGCGTTACTCCTTTCTTCAATTTAAAAGGAACGCGTTAAATAAGCCTGAAATGAGCGCGTTATTTTGTCCTTATGCTGAATGTGTAGTTATAGCGCGTCAACTGCTTCCAATATTTGCCGTCGTCACACGAATCCTCGCTTTTTAACCCGTTCATTATGGCATAACTATGGCTAATATAAGATGTCTCGTGCATATTTGGAACGGTCTATCTAGTGCTTTCTCGTCGTTCATATTAAAGGCGCGAGCCGGACTGAGAACTAGGTTGGGTGTTGTACACCTCCAGAAGTAACAAAACGCCGTTACCCGTTACTTGATAAAAAAAGTGACGAAAATGCTCGTTCCTCGTCTTAACGTGTAACTAGGGTTTACTTCGTTACCGAAAAAATTACGCAAGCTTGAACGTGTTGACAGAGTGAGCGATCACGTAACGTGTTCAGCACAGGCTACCACGCCGAAGAACCCTCTGAAAAAAAATAACGTCATGTGACTTGAGGTCACATGACGTGGACACGTCAATTTTCCCGCTAAATGCATGTAGCAGGAAAATTGACGTCTTAGGACTTCAGTTCACATGATGTGGTCACGCGACATCACCTACCCGCTAAATTTAACGGGTATCACGTAATTTCAGGCCACGTGACGTCGTGTGACACGCCCAGAATGTCGCTCCTTCGCGACACTAGTTTATGACGCTCATTCTCGTGGAAAATGATCCAAAAACACATTCTGCGTTAAAAGTAACTAGGTACAAGTAAGCCGTTAGGTACAAGTCTTTGCGCGATGCTGGAGCGTGGTCGACGAACTGCTCCTGCCGCTCCGTTGGCGAGTCGCTGAGATCGGGACACCTCGGAGCGCGCCGGCGGAACCTGAGCAATCGGCGCCGCGGCAGAGCGGACGGCAACCACTCGGAGGGTCCGCGAGGGGGTGCCCCGCTGCGCCGCGCTTCCGCGGAAGCCAGGTCCGGGCTCAGTCGCTCTTCGAACCGCGGCGGGGAAAGGTCGGTCTCCGCCGCCGCCCCGCACAGGAGGATACGCTTTCGCCGCGTGTCGGGATGACGCCTCCTTGTGCCGCCAGATCGATTGATCACAGAAAGCGTCGTCGAGGGTAAGTCCTGCAACCGAGCATTTCATTAGGTGGCTGGCACTCGACCCAGAGAGCAAACAGACACAAGAAAAGTGTCGCGCGCTTACCTTTCTGCGTAGCTCTGAAGTCTAAATCTGCCCTCAGTCTGCTAGAACCGCGTACAAAAGTCAGTCTGTAGTCACTGTCTGAGGCATTCCTTGTATGACTTTCCATTGGTCGTTCAAAAGCTCTCTGTAGGCTCTTCCTCGAACAGCGTGTGTTCTGCATCATGTACGAGCACTGGGATAGCGACTCGAAACTTCCAGCGCGTCTACTTTCCCACAAGGCACTAGGGAGAGCGAGTCGCTGTAATACATGGACGGAATTGGCAGAGTGGTGATGCTAAAAATATGTTTAGACCTAAAAAACAACAAAAATGGCCTGCTTGGTGATGTTTGGCTCGATTACGTCTTGTCCATGCAGGGTCGCAGTTCAATCTGTCTTTCTGGGAGTCAGCCACGTCATTCGCCGCGCTCCCTCTGCAGATTGCAGGCCCTCCCAAATGCTTTGCGGGGAAGTACACGTGCCAGATGAGATGATTCTTGTGTCCGCTTTACACTCTAAAGAAAGTCTGTGCGTCTACTTTCACGCACACCACTCGGAGAGCCAATCAGCGCAACCTACGGAGGCAGCTCAGCGAATGACGATGCCGAAACATATGTTTAGACAAACAAAAACGCAGTCTGAGTTGCGACATTAAGCAATGCAAAACGTCACGCTTGCATTGCTTAGTGTCACAATTCAGTCTTCGTTTTTTTGTCTAAGCATATGTTTGGGCATCGTCATTCGCTGAGCTGCCTCCGTAAGTTGCGCTGATTGGCTCTCCGAGTGCTGTGCGTGAAAGTAGGCGCACAGACTTTTTTAGAGTGTATACGTGAGGTCCTTACGGCGCTATCTCTTATCAGTCTCTACGTGTAAGCTGTATCGCGATGCAATCGGAACTTTGAATATTGATATCTCTTTAGTCGGTTTGAACAATGTGAACGAGTATTGGCGTCCAGTTTCGGTGGTCAAAGCGGGCGAACGCCTTCCCGCCACTGAGAGTGCGTGCGTAATTTTGATACCGTTTTCTCTTCTGATTGGCTAAACTGATTGGGCGAATAATTGGTGCTCCGAGTGTATCACGAAGCAGTGTTCACACGTAAAATTTGGTGACTGGTTCAGGTAAGGTAGGTCTGCAACATCATGTTGTTTGACGGTCACGTGCAAGAGCCTCGTCCATTTTCTGTTATTTTTTGTTTATAGCTAAGAAGTACCGCGTAAAAGCGAGTGGGTTCGCGATAAAAGAAATAAAGCGTTGTAAGAAATGGAAAATCTATGATAAAAATGAAAGAGCGAGCACAATGATGCCTTGCAAGCACAGCTGCTTGAGTGTCCCCTATTTGTATATGTGTATTTTAATCTACAGTGTACGATCTACGCGAGTTCAGTTACTTTCTTCTTCTTCCAAGCGTGCAGCTGTTCATTGACCTCGCATTGCTTTGACGTTATCATTTATTTTGCTGTCGAAAAAACCTCTGTGCGTCTGTTTTTCCACAGAGCATTCCGACAAAAGTTCCTATACATTCTCCTCGCTTTTTGCGCCGTCAGTGCGACGGTGCATGGCCGGGTTCCTAGAATCAGAGTTTTAGCCAAGACTGTGTGAAAGAGAGCTCTGCCAAAGCTACCGCACGACCGGAGTGGCACGCGACGTAGCAATCTCGCCCAGAGTGTAGGAAGCAAACGGCGCACAGCAACCGAATGGACACAAAGACTGCATTTGCACCCTCTTTAGGTGCTTCGTAATGCGTGTTGTTTCTTCTTACTTGTAAAAGAAAACATCAAGGCTGTTCAATTTCGCGGGACGATCTCTGCCATCTATGGAGAAAGCTGAGCGAATGACGAAGGCGGGACGAAATAATTTGACTTAGAAATGCAAAGCACGCTCTGACACTGAGGATGACATGATTTTTTGAAAACTCATGAAAAGCGTCACTGCAGAGACTTCATTTTTTGGTTGAAAAGTTAACTTTTGGCCCTGTGATTTTCTGAGCTCCTACAGTGGATCTCAGCTATTAGCTTTACGAGTTCTTTGATTGAAGTGAACGTACGAGATATTATTTACTGGTTTGCCTGTTTAGTGGTTAATTTGTTTTACTCGTTGAATACGATGTCTGGGGCGCATCTGGCAGTGGACAGTTCTTGTGCTTTCTCGTTTAGTTCCAGGTGAAAGCTTTTTTTTTTGGTCGACCAGGCTCTGCTCGCGTAGGTTTGAATTCTATCCCTGGCAATCAATCTTACATCGGAAGCTCGGAAGCATTTCAATCAGAGCGATGAATTAGAGAAGGAGTTACGTCAATGGCTTTAAACTAACAACGCAATACACACCAGAGGGAATGACAATAACCAGATATAATGGCACAGGCGCAGGGGCGCCAGCCTAATAAAGTCAGTCGCAAACGTACTCATAAGGACATAAACGCACGCACACCATAGAACAAGGTGATCAAACCGTCATACCAGTATAACACACTCTGACGTTTCTTTATATATTTTTCATTTATCGACATCATACCTTATGCAACATCCTGTTTATGATAAACTCCGGTAATGAGCGATAGATACAAGTTTCACGACGGATACATATCTTCGTTTTCATATTAAGCAATTTCAGTTTGTCACTTTTGCTATGCTGCGTTTTTCAGAAGCAACCGGGCTAGACAACACTTTGTAAACACGACAATATATATATATATATATATATCACTGTGTCGAACCGAAAAAAATACGGGTTCGGTTACGGTTCAGGTTCAGGTAAATTTATTTTGTTCCGGTTCACTTCCGGTTTGATTAATTCGATCCGCGAACCGGTTCGCGAACCGGTTCGGAAATTATAAATGACAAATTGCAACATCAAAATAAATTACAAATAAAACATCTGAAATCAGCACATACGGAACGGGATACATCGTAGTGTAGGCTCAGGGATTTCTACTAGGAATGGTTTTTTTATGTGCACTCAAAGGTTACCTCACCGACGTTTACGCATTCGTACTTCATCTAATTGGGTCCGACGCAGTAGCTGTAAAACCCGCGACCTCCTTACAAACCCACTTACAAGTAGAACTCGCTAACTATCCCGCCACCTCGGCGTGTAAGCAATTGAAGGAACAGTGGGGAGAAAATACAGCTTTCTTTATTTGAACTAGCCTCCGGTAACTCAAATTAGACCCTTAAAGAAGTTTTCATTAAACACGATACGGAATATGAAAAACACTTCACCGAACGCAACGCCAGAAGGACGTAATAGGATAAATATTACAATAGAAGAGTTCGCTGTCGCACAAATATGTTAGCGTCTAAGTGCCTATACGAAACCGGATGCATTATTATCAAACTCCACAGCCTTTTCTTTTCTCATTCCGATGGAAGCAAGCTTCAAGAACTCGCGCGTTCTAGAAACGTGTTATGAAATGAGCACACAGCAGCACTTAGGATTTACGAGATTGTAGGAAAATAAAATCCCGTGACGCGATTTTTTTTTTGTTTTTTGCACAGCCTTCTAATTCCCTTTCTTCCGTGCATGCCGCGACCAGCGCAATACTGGTTCGTATGTCAAGATTCATGGATGCAGCGTTTGTCAAGATTCATGTATGCAGCGTTTATATTCCTAAGACTGAGTGGAGAAGAAAAATATGTAAGCGAGGTGTGTGTCAGTTGACGGCACTTAAAAAACAAATGGCATTGATAGCACATTCATTGTCAACAGCGCGTGGCCGAACCGTTTTGACATGAGCCGGTAACCGTTATTTTTTTTCCGGTTCAGTTCCGGTTCCGGTTCATCGCGATAACAATATAACGGCTTGGGTTCGGGTTCAGTTCCGGAAAAAATACCGGTTCGGTTCCGGTTTTCGGTTCGGTTCAGTTCCGGTTCGACACCCTGATATATATATATATATATATATATATATCGTTCTATCAATTTGTTCTATCACTTTAGCACTCTACACATTTTATTCTAGTTTATTTCTTTATTCGTCTCCCCTTTTCCCGGCACCAATTAGCAAGCCAGCAGAATGCCGCACGGTTGATCTCTTTATTTCTTTCCCCAGTGATATTGTCTCTAGAATAACTGACAGCGGCAGTTTACAAACGGCATGTTGCTGAATGGGTCGGCGACCGCTGCCTCTCGATCGACTCTTGACCGCTCTTCCTCACCGATGCTGCAATGTCCTACAAATCGCGGTGTAAAGGAAATGGTGGAGCTGGCCTTGCCATATAGATCATTTCAATGCCCGCTTTCTGAGAACTACCATCTTTGTATACTTGGCTGCGGTGTGTAAAAGTAAGAAATCACGTTCGGGCAACCTCGGTGCGGTCAAAGTAGTAGTTTACTGCATGTACTGCGTGTAATTTGCAACGCGGCGTTCAAACTAAAATTTAAAAAAAAAATGAAAATATGAAAATAATTTGTTTAGATTCACATTTATTATTTTCCGGGTATCATACACGGTGAGTGGATGAGAAATACAAAAAATATAGGTCTCTGCCAGCGGCATTTGCGAAAGCGGAGCACTCGGTGTTGAGAAGCAACCGATTTTGAACAGATGGTTTGTGGTATAGCCTCTGGCCTGAGCTCAATAACTCACAGAGGCAAAACCAGAGGGACGATTTTTCAATTTCGCATCGTGCTTAAGATTGAAAGTACAGCGCACTTTGCAAAACCTGCAATATTGTGTGCCTTTTTTTTTTTTTCGCGTGTTACGTTTTTCTGCTGCCCTCCTTTGACCTCATCCACTGGTTTCAAGTTTAACGAGGCCCTCACCATGCCTGTCAATCCCCCCTCCTCCACAAAATACCATATCCTAAAGCCCCTCTATCCTGGCAAAAGTAGCACCATTCATTGTCGTGGAAATGCTTGAGACACGTGCCGCGCGCCACTTCTGGGAAGAACATGGCGTCTGAAATCTAGCCATAGCCTCCTCTATGCTCACAAAGCCTGG